CCCCTCTCTCTGCCACAAGACTGTCTCCTAAAACAGATACAAGAGGGATTTTTTAGAGCTTCTTTCACACCTAGGAAGTGTGAAAGCTCTCCAGACAAGGACCAAGGAATGTGTCTGTCACGGGTCCTCCGCTGGTGCTTTTACGGTCTCCCCGTTGGTCGGAAACCGCAGAAGAGTGCTTTCCGCCCCACGAAGATCACTTTAAAAGGGAATCTTCTCCTGGCTCCGGTGTCCGAGATCCTTTATCGAGTCAGGGCGATGGAATGTGGGGTTCATTCTTCAGGCATGAGTTTTGCCGCCCAAAAGATATAAAGATAGAGGGCGCAGAGTCGACACCACTGCAGGCAGAGGAAGGAGGAAGGCTAAGGTCCTGGAGAAGATGATGGGTTCAAGGATTCCTTTCCTGCTCTCCCTGTTCCTTGCGGCTCAGCTCCAAGGTCCATCTGGGGCCCAGCCCATCTCTTGGTCAGAACTAGCAGATTTCAAGGTAAGGACCATCTGGGGTTGGGTCAAGCCTGGGAGAAGCCTTGGAGAACTTGGGGAGAACCTCAATGTTGGTGAACACTTGCTTGGCATACCAAGATCCTCGGTCTGTAGACTGGTTTGGAGAACAGGTGATGGGAAGAGACATCTCTTGAAACGATACTCTAATTGGCTGTCATCTTCTAAATTCAATCAGAATAGAGCTGGAGGGGACCTTGGAGGTCTTCTAGTCCAATTCCTTGATCAAGCAGGAGACACTGTACCATTACAGACAGGTGGTTGTCCAGTCTTTCCTTAAGAGCCTCCAATTATGAACTTCTGTTCCACTGGTTAATTGTCCTCACTATCAGGAAGTTTCTCCTTAATTCCCGGTTGCTTCTCTCTTTGGGTAGTTTCCATCCATTGCTTCTTGTCCTGCCCTCTGGTGCTTTGGAAAATAAATTATGGTGGCCCTTCAAATACTGGAATATCGCTATCACATCACCCCTAGTCCTACTTTTCTCCAGTCTGGTCATACCAGTCTAGAAAAAAAAGGTAATATTGATGAATAGGAGTCAATGTCCAATGCTACGATTTCTGTCTGGCCTTGAAAACCATGGACATACTTATTGGAAGCTTGTATTCAACCCAGAAAGGAACTACTCCATGGGTTAGCCTCTAACAGGCCACAGGACTGTCTGTGATGCATGTGTGAATTGGTCCAAGATAAGGCATTCTAGTGCAGTTGAGAAAAAGACCATTCAGTTTGATCTCGCCTTGCTTTGAAGTCATCTTCTCAAGTCTCCAAATCTACTACTCAAAGGCAGTTGTAAATATATTTATTAGATCAATGCAGACATAGTTATGGGTTCATCCGACATGCTCTTGTTCACCAGCACTGAAATTCTGGCTACGACACCTTGGTAGGAGCCATCAAGAATCTCCTCTTTCCCGGGAGCATGTCAAAGAAATGATGGTCGCCTAGGCAAAAAATTTCGGTTACAATGTGGAATTGGCTAAGTGGGATAAACTTTGGATACTTAATCAGAAACTAACAAAGGCTATGGCGTATAAAGAAAACCTTTATAAAATGTTCTATAGATGGCATCTCCCTCCAGCACGGCTCTCCAAAATGTTTAAAAATCTGGATCCAAATTGTTGGAAGTGTAAAAAAAAAACACCAGGCACTTTTTATCATATGTGGTGGACGTGCAATGAGGCAAAAAATTATTGGAAAATGATTCAATCATGGTTAGAACAAATGGTGGGAGACCAAATCTTGTTTAAACCGGAAATTTTTCTCCTAGGTATAATACCAGAGGGGTATATGAAAGATACACTTTATCTAATTATACATGTACTAACTGCGGCTCGCATAACTTATGCACAATATTGGAAAAAAGAAAATGCACCATCAGAGCTAGATATCATCAGAAATGTGTTGGCCTGTGCAGAAGCAGATAGGCTCACTCTTGAACTTAAAAATAAAGGGGAATCAGAATATTTTGAAGTTTGGAATAGATTTTATGATTGGTATAAGTCAAGGTGACAAGACTGGAACAAACTGTATATATTGTGATTGGACAGAAGGATTGATAATGTATTTAGTAGGCTAATTGTTAATAGTTGTGACTAGCTGTATATAATGTGAATGTATAGTCACTCCGATTTCGCGGTACTGCATTGTTTTAAATGTAAAAATAATAAAAATATATTGAAAAAAAAAGAATCTCCTCTTTCCCAAACTATTGTATGAAACTGAAGACTAAAACGTACAAAGGACAATTGCAGGAATTGGGTATGTCCAGGGCTCTGGAGCCGCATGTGGATCTTTCATCCCTCTGCTGCGGCTCCCTGTCGCTCAAAATATGTGACCCCCAACCGCCAATGTGCGGCACCCGCTGGCATGCGATTTATTGAACTTTTTGACCCTGGGTAGGCTAATCGTGGATAAATCCAAGAAAAGAAGAGTTCCAAAAGAAAACAAAACGTTCAATTCAACTACTAGTTGAACTAGTTCAACTACTAATTGTTCAACTACTAATTCAATGGCTAGTTTTGTGGCCACTCGGGAAATAGTCACGTTTTTGTGGCTCCCGGTGTTTTCTTTTCTGTGGGAAACAGGTCTAAATGGCTCTTTGAGTGTTTAAGATTGCAGACCCCAAGTCTAATGTAAAGGGCTAGGCATGACTTGATAGCATCCTCCAATATTTGAGTGACTGCCCCAAAGAAGAGGAAGGGGGGGGGGGTCAACCTTTTCTCCAAAGCACCTAAAGGCAGGACGGGAAGCAATGGATGGAAACTCATCAAGAAGAGAAGCAACTTGGAATTAAGGTGAAACTTCTTGACAGTTGAGGGCAATCAATCAGTGGAATGGCTTAACTCCAGAATTTGTGTATGCTCCATCCTGGAGGCTTTTAAGAAGAGATTGGGCAACTATCTATCTGAAATAGTATATGGTTTCCTGCATGAACAGGGGTTCGACTAGAAGACCTCAGATTCTGTTATTCTGTTAAAACTAAGGAAATGAGCACAGCCAAACGCTGAAAACAAATGTTGACTTTTCACCGCAACTAGTAAATGGTCGAAATCATACCTGGACAGCTTTGTTTTTTTCCCCCCCTTGACATGCCTGTTCATACTCTAGAGTAGTGACTCCTAATCCTTTGGGCACCAGGGACCAATTCTGTGGAGAGAGATTTTTCTGTAGACCAGAGGGTAGTGGTGGTGTGGTTTCACATGCTCCCTTCATCCCATGGATGGGGCTTTGTGTCAGGCCTGCCGACATATTCCTTTTAGGATCTTTAGCCTGCCACACTCTCTATTATTTTACTATGCTGTTTCATTAGTGGGGTAATTGGGAGGAGGAAGAGTAAGGAGTAGAATGTGTTGTTGTCCTGGCCCCAAATTGCTGGAAGTGTAAAAAAACACCCGGCACTTTTTATCGTATGTGGTGGACGTGCAATGAGGCCAAAAGTTATTGGAAAACGATTCAATCATGGTTGGAACAAATGGTGGGAGTCCAAATCTTGTTTAAACCAGATTTTTTTCTCCTAGGTATAATACCGGAGGGGTTTAAGAAAGATACACTTTATCTAATTATACATATACTTACTGCAGCGCGCATAACTTATGCACAATATTGG